ATTGGATTTCAGCTCCGTCAATGATTCCAAGAACGCTCGCAGATTATATTCATCCCTTTGGCGCAGCTTTTCACGATCCATCTCTGTGCGTATTGACTCTAGCCTGTCGAAAAGGGCTCTTGCCTTCCGCCTCATAATGGAAATCCGCGATGCAGGGAATTGGGTGGTGGCTGCGTTCGCACTATCCCTTTCACTAGATGGAGCATCGCCAACTGTCACTGTATCACTGTCATTGCCCATAGCCAACGATACACTCCTTCTATTATTTTTCCTTTTGCCCATGGTTTTGGCTATATATTGTTGACGCGGAGTGTGTGAGCAAAGACTATACAATACCAAGATGTTGCATGAGGAACAAATTCTTTTTCAATTTTCGTTTGACGCTTCATGGTACGGGCGCGCGGGGCTATTACTTCAATTCTCTTTTACGCTACCTTCGCCTCCGAAATGCTACTCGGCTTCGTCAATGCCTCGGTCAACGTCGAGTCGGTGTGTCTCGAGAGAAAGAATACAAAAACAAAATATGAATCGTCTGCGTGCCGAAACCGTAGGGCAGCGTGGTCGCTGATGTCTTTGGAGCGTCTTTGTATGAGTGCTTTAGATAAATTTAATGTACGCATCTAATAGGGAATTTTTCAATCGAATTTTCAAGATAGTTTTAGTTTAGGAGATATAAGCACTCAAAGTTTAACATTTTTTAGGTGTGCAAATAATTATTGAACTCATATTCACTAACTAATTTAGCAAGCTGAGACGGCCAAAGGTCCCACTGTGCCGCTCCAAAGACATCGGCGATCCGCGACCACCGCTTCGACGGTGCTGAGGCTCGAGAGTCCAGAATTGCCGAACAGACGAAACCGATGGGCAGCGGGGTCGCGGTAGAGACGAAGTACAGGCGAAAAGGGAATTGAAACCCCGCGAGCTCCCTCGTGCCTTTTGGGTTCTAATGTTAGGACCCGTCATAGAACAGCTTTTTGGTCGCTCATGTAACATCTTGGTATTGTATAGTCTTTGGTGTGAGTCGTTTGAATAAAAATGATGCAACGCGAGAGTTCAAAGGAGATCAAAATGTTTTGCGATCACTTTCGCGACACTTTTTATTTGTGTATGTCCAAAATATAGGCGCCGGCAAAGCAACGAAGCGACGACCGAAAAAGAACCAATAGTTATGCACAAGAGAGCGACCGAGATGTTTTGCATTGTTTAAAGCTCGAATTCGAGAGAGAGATATGTGCAGCCGGCCACGAGAGCTGGCTGAAGCAAACGACGAAAGAGGAGGCGAAGAAAACTAACGGACCACGCTTAGAACTCTATGCAGACGGTCTTGACAGTGCGCTGCGCGGCAACGAAAAAGACGGCGAAAGAGAAGCGAAAACGAATAGCGGGTCGCTAGAACTGCCACGGTGGGCCAAAACGATCTTTGGTTCGCTACTTTTCTACAAATGTTACATCAAACCTTCGAATTTGATTTAACGAACTACTTGAAACACTACTAACACACGACAAGTCCACGGCGATCACGTCGGGGTCACCAAAATGTTGGAAGCTGCCGAGCTTTTTCGGCAACTCTGACTCCACATTTACAAATTAAAAATTGCTCCGTTGTTAAGGTTACAATTGGGCGTTTATTGTTTGTGTGTTGTTGTTAATCAGTTCGTCTGCTATGTAGCTGCCTTCAACGTCCTGGTGATCCGGCACGGTAGCTCCACCCTTTATTTACTGTTGCAGCTATATGGCTGTTAAAACACTTCTTATGATCAAAAAGGACTCCAAGGTCATTTGAACTCGAAATTCGCTCGAGAACATGATTTCCTAGAACATATGAGACAAAATGTGGAGCGCGACGGTAAAATGTCATAAGTTTGCATTTGGAAAGGTTCAGAAAAAGAAGATTATTTGAACACCACCATAGTAGTTCACTTAGATCCAGTTGAAAGCGTGTGTGCAAATACCAATCAGAGTAAGACTGACAGATTTAAAGTTTTGAGAAGAAGCGACGATAGACTGATAGGCCTAAAGACTTTTGTGGTTGAGTGTTAGGCTTTAGCCGCCTTTTTTTGTTGGACGTTGACATGCAATGACTGCATCTTTCAAGAGGCGATGCAATTACTGCACCGTCAAGTGGCCCGTGTGACACCAGCAGAAGGCTGTGACGCGAGCATGCAGGAAAGATAGCTGTTAGACTAATATTCGAGGAAAATTAGCACTAAAGTTTCTAAGAGAATTAGGCATGCATTCAAAAAAAAAAAAAAAAATACCACTACAATAACTAATTACTAATGACTAGAAAGGAGTGTAAGGATTAGTAATTTAATAAGAGGAAGAGAATTAGTGGTGGATATAACCTCAACCTCAGACCCTCAACGGTGCATGCAAGGAATAATTCGATCTACAAAGTGGAAGGAATGTCTATGTCACCCCTGGTCAAGTTGTGCATAAAAATCACCCCAAGAATTTTTCTACTTTTAACTTACGAGGGAGGTTTACTAGTAGTAGTCTACTAGAGTAAGATGGGAGTCTCACACCTTCATTCCAGTTAAGACCCCGCAGAGCAAAGGGTAAAAAGTTTTTCTGTACTGATTCTCTACGGTCCTGGTGTACTTTGTACTGCGGGCACCATACACAGGAGAGATCGGACGAGCAAGCGAGGTATAGATAGTCTTTGTTATATAGGGGTCGTCAAATTCCTTTGACCACCTCTTTAGAAGCACAAGCTCGCCCATGGCCTTATTAACCATAGTAGAAATGTGCTCGGAAAACTTTAACGTGGGGTCTAACATAACACCCAGATCATCTACCAGGGTAATTCTCTCAAGAGAACCACCAAATAGGGTATAGGAAGCCAAAAAGAGGCTAGAACGATGAAATGTCATAGGCATTTCGAGGCATTAAGGTATAACAAGTTTGCACAACACTATGACTGAAAGTTTTTGAGATCGATTTGCAAGTGAGAATGAAATGAAATGTCCTTATACTGGACACAAAAATTAACATCATCCTCATACATAAGTACTCGAGAGTATGTAATACCGAAGGCAAGTCATTAATAAAGAGTGTGAAGAGTAAGGGGCCTAGATTCCTGCCCTGTGGCAGAAACCTTTACTGGTAAAGAGAGGGGGTTTTTGAAGAGGACTCTTTAAGACCTGGAACAAAGATACAATTTGGCAGACCAAATGGTGTCAAATTGAGTTGGGGAGATGCTTATCTTAAACGAGGCAATCTCCCTGGCATAAGAGAAGTTGAATTTCTCCACCTTTAATCCCATGGCTTTTATTTTGCGTTGAATAAAAGCAATTACATCATTAGATATGAGGTCAGGGGCCAGCCGTGAAACAAAAACTTGTCGTTTTGGTGGGACTCCTACCAGTGGTTTAGTCACCACAGGCCTAGTACCTGTGGTGGCAATATCCGGAGGACCGGAACGTCTATTTACTGGTGGGCGAACTTGCGGACACCACGGACACGGACGCTGCAGACGTACTTGGCTTAACATTCTCCGAGGTGATGAATTCGGCTACCGAATCTTCATCGCCAGCAGCTGTCGTTGCACTTGGAGTGGCAAACGAGATCAACTGCTGCATACTTGGAGTGGTCGGAGTCAGTTTTTCGGCGGCGCACGGCTCCGCAGATCCCGCGGAGTGACCTTTTTACGCCTCGGAGACTCATTCAGAAGTTGCAGACAGCCAAATTGAGACTCCATGGCTAGGAGCCGATCGTATTGCTTTTAAAAGCCAACGGTCAGCTCCTTAAAGCCCTTCCGCGTCTGCCTCATAAAAGCCACCATATCATTTTCCACCGCACGGCATGCCTCGCAACTGTAATGCAACCCATTACGTTTGGCTATAGTATCACTCACGAGGCCAGAAAATCCAACGCATTTTGCGTGCACTACGCTGTCGCAGAGCCAGAAGGGAACATTCGGCTGATCGTGGGTGATCTGCTTCTTACAAGTTTTTTTGGTGCAGACCGTAGCGTATTTCCTTTTTTTTATTTATTTATTTACTTAAGAAAAAAAATTCTAATACAAATTGGTATCAGACCAATTTGTCAGACAACGCTCAAAGCGGAATTAGTGAAAAGAGAGCAGAGTGGAGAGCGGTTATAGCGAGAGCTACTAAACAGAGAGCGCTATTGCTCAGAAAGTTTAAAGAGCGAGAGAGAAAGAACAGTTATTGAAGTTGACGTGATAGCAAGAGAGTGATAAAACAACAAAAGCTACAAGATGAGAGACGAGAGCTGTAATGCAATGTAATTTACTCACGGCAACAACAAAAACACGACAAGCCGACGCCGAATAATTTGAAGTTCAATAAATAATGATTAAAAACAAATCAAAAGGCATGCACTCGCGGAATAGAATAGATTTCCAGATAGTAATTTGGATTAGGAAGGTATTTAATGTTTATTTATGAAAACATCGGTTGTTTATGCAAAACAAAGGGAAAATATGCGGAGCGCAAAACAAAAACGCGTCTGATCTATGTTTGTTCATGGCTTGTTTGCGTTAAGCCATGAGAGTATAATTTTCCTACTATATTCCAGAAGTTGTATTGAAACCAGTTGATCGTCTTCGGTCTTTTGAAGTTGGGCCGGAATGATCTGGCGATTTTAACGATTTGAAACTGTTTACTGCCCAGCTAATATTCCGGTTTTGAGGATGTGGGCCATCGAAACATTCAAAAATATATTTTTTTGTAAACCTGGAATTCATCAAAACAAATGTTAAATCCCAAGTCTACAAGACTCAGCTTGAAAAAAAATACATTTTGGATTGGATTTTGTTGACTAATATTATTGACCATTCTGAAAGTTTTTTGAAAGTCTTTTAGATCCTTTTCGGTATTGAATTGATTTTGTTGAAAAATATAAAAAATATTCTATTATTGAAATATTCAATATATATTGTAAAAATTAAATTTAAGCAAGTCTGCAATCGCAAAATGTAATTATCAAACATTTTAACGTTTTCTTTCGATCACCACCTGTGCTTTTACTGGCAGAAACATCCACATGTAATTTTTGAAGCGCGTACGAAAGCAAACAAGGGATGCGCAAATTCAGGTAATTTAGACTCATGGCGATTGTCTCGTCGCACCAAGCACGTGTCAGTAGGAGTTGCGGATGTGGTGGACGATATACGTCAGAGCCACGCAATTCGCAGCAAGCGGGATGTGCGAGAGGCCACCAAATACATTGAAACAGCAATTATCGTGGACAAGGCTATGTTTGATAAACGGAACGGGAGCACGCGCGCCGAGGTGATTCACGACGCAATACAGGTTGCCAATATAGCTGATCTGGTAAGTATTAACAGTATTAACCGAATGTCTGAAACTATTTATTTGAATTTAAAATTGCAAGTACTTCCGTACCCTGAATACTCGTGTGTCGGTGGTTTATATTGAAACATGGGGAAAAAACCAAGCCATCATCGATGGAAGTAAGGACATTGGCAAGGCAATATCTAACTTTAACGATTACACGTCAAGAAATCTGTTTCAAATTGAGCGAGACACTACTCAGTTGCTTACGTAAGAGTTTCCTGTCTTCCCTGTGCACTCTTACAGGGTACTGTACTAGGCTCTTATATTATTTTATTTCCGTCTTTTAGTGGTGAAACATTTTCCGGCGGAGAGGCTGGGATGGCCGTTCCTGAAACTGTCTGTACACCTCGGGCTGTAGGCATCAGCGTCGATGTTAACGTCTATGAGCCACACCTCCTCGCAGGTACCATGGCTCACATGATTGGCCATAACATCGGAATGGGGCACGACGATGGACGTAAGAAGTGTCTTTTTCCATTATATAACAATTATAAAGAAAGATCTGTTACTTGGCTTTAGGTGAGGAATGTTTTTGTCGCGACTGGCATGGTTGCATAATGGCACAGTCGATCGTCGGGCAGGAGAATGTCCAACCGTATAAATTTTCTGAATGCAGTAAGAAAGACTACATTGACGCATTGCGTACGGGACACGGACTGTGTTTGCTCAACAAGCCTAATGAGGTGAGCGATGAGCGGAAATCCAACTGATAAGTTGTGGCACTTTGGCCCAGTAAACTGATTGGGAGTTTCTTAAACCGTTGCTAGACCAGAAATTTATTAATGCAGCTTTTTTCAAAATTTGCACTCAATAGATCGAATTGCGTCGAAACTGCGGTAATAAAGTAGTCGAGGAAGATGAGGAGTGTGATTGTGGTACCTTTGAAGAATGTGCCCTGGATCCCTGCTGCGACGGAATAACATGCAAGCTAAAATCTGAGGCGCAATGCGCTAGCGGCGCATGCTGTGACCAATGCCGCGTATGTACTATTTCCTGCCAGCATAATAACTATTATAATTGTATTACATGTTTGCAGTTACGTCCTAAGGATTACATTTGCCGGGACTCAAACAATGAGTGTGATCTTCCAGAATACTGTGATGGCGAAGTCGGTCAATGTCCTTCTGACGTCTATAAGAAAAATGGGTCTCCATGTGGCGTCAGCAAGTCAGGCGTTTCTGGTGCGTAGATCTTAGCATTATTATTTATAGAAACATTAAACATGCTATAATTCGAAACCCATATATTTATGTTCCAGGCTACTGTTTCCAGGGCTACTGTCCTACACTAAGCCTGCAATGTGAAGCAATTTGGGGATATGGGGGATCCGCAGCAGATCGGCAATGCTATGAACAATTTAATTCTAAGGGCTCAATTAATGGCCATTGTGGGCGTGATGTGAATGAGCATTATATTAAGTGCGATCCAGAGTAAGTTATCAATTATCGCTAACAAAGCGAATCTATCACCTATATTTGCATAGCAATACGATTCGTAATGTTTGGGGCTCTATTGCCTCTGCACTAATATATCCGATAATTAGTTTCTATATATTCATTTATTGATTCGTGAACCGAATTCAATTCCTTAACTCCTTAAACTAATTTACTCTATCTTTTTCTTTTTGTATAAAAACCAAACGGTTGCGTTAATTAGCATTGGACTGTAGAACGTCTCGACCGATTTAGATATATTTTTTTTTTTTCCTTTTTAACCAGGGATATTGGGAAAGGTTAAAAAAAAACAAAAAAAGACAAAAGAAACCGCAAATAAATAGGCATATTTAAGAATAAAGAAGGCAGATGATTGAGTTGTTATTACAAATCGACTTGAATACTAAATGACGCCGACCGACGATAACGAAGTGGGAGTTGCCTTTAACACATCCAAATATCGCCTCGACAACGAAACAAGAAATGGCGTGTGTGATGTATGTATTGTTTTATTCTATTGGAAGTTAAATACATTTTCTTAGTTTAACTAAGAGTCAAGATCTCCCACTCTCTTTGGGGGACTGACCCGCCAATCGGCTTGAATCGGAATACTTCCACTTGACCTTGGCGCTTCTCACTATGACCGCACATCAACAAATACACAGTTCCCTGAAAAATTCGAAATATAATAATATCGATTTCGCGAGATTCGTGTCGTTACATTTTAATTGCCTGACTATCGAGCGTTAAACTAATCCGTTCCACGACATCCCGACCCCCGTAAAGCAGTTCCATTCACCACACCCAGAACAGCTAACTTAGAGACGGCACGCATCATCACTTTGACTCGATCGTCATTGGCCACGCGCATAACCGCTCGTCGTGGTACTCCGTCCACTCCAGGGAACACTTCTATCGTGATGCCTTTCTTCCATTCTCTGGGTGGAACAGCTTAATCACATATGTAGACCAGATCTCCGCGAAGCATAAGCTCGTAGGTGGGTACTCATGTACCCTTCGTTTCCTGAACCGGTCCCTCATCATCCGGCAATACGCCACTGCTTTCCTGTCTCGCACTTTTCTGGTGGCTGACAGTTAGCTTTTGGAAGGTTCGACGCCTTCGGCTGGATTCCCCGGACAGTTAAAGATTCATTCGACTCCTTTGGACGACAGTTCGCCCTGGATCTTCTCTGCCTTTTTTTTATATGGACGTAGCGGAACCAAACGCGTACATGCAGGAAAGATAGTTGTAAGACTAATATTCGAGGAACATTAGCACTACACTTACTAAGAAACTAAACATGCATTCAACATGCATTTACGAATACTACTACAACTACTAATTACTAGAAAGGTGAGTGAGGATTAGTAATTTAATAAAAGGAAGAGAATTAGTGGTGGATATAATGTGGTATAGGGAATTATAATCCGAGCATAAGACCCTCAACGGTTCATGCAAGGAATAATTCGATCTACAAAGTGGAAGGAACAATGGTATAAAATTTCTAGTGAGTTTAATAGGAATTGTGGAGTTTATGCGGCCCAACAGATTAGGGCTGTATATGTCACCCCTGATCAAGTTGTGCATAAAAATCACACCAAGCATTTTCTACGATTAACTAAGGATGGGAGGTTTACTAATAGCAGTCTACTAGAGTAAGATGGGAGTCTCACACCTTCATTCCAGTTAAGGCCCCGCACAGCAAAGAATAAAAATGTTTTCTGTACTGATTCTATACGGTCCTGGTGTACTTTGTACTGAGGGCACCATACACAGGACCCGTATTCTAAGATCGGACGAACAAGCGACGTATAGAGAGTCTTTGTTATATAGGGGTCGTCAAACTCCTTTGACCACTTTTTTATAAACCCAAGCACGCCCATGGCCTTATTTACCATGGTTGAATTGAGCTCAGAAAACTTTAGCTTGGGGTCTAATATTCTCTCAAGAGAATCACCACATAGGGTATATGGAGCCAGCAAAGGGCTAGAACGATGAATTTCGAGGCATTAAGGTGTAACAAGTTTGCACAAAACCCTGACTAAAAGTTATTGACACCAGATTGCAAGAAAGAATGAAATGAAATTTCCTTATACTGGACACAGAGTTTAACATCATCCGCATACATAAGTACTCGAGAGAATGTTAATACGGAAAGCAAGTCATTAATAAATAGTGTAAAAAGTAAGGAGAAACCTTACTGGTGAAGAGAGGGAGTTTTTGAAGAGGACTCTTTCAGCGCTGGAACAAAGATAGCTAGAAATCCATCTCATTGGGTTTCTATGAGTTTATGCGCTAGAAGTCGAAAAGTCGCTTCAGAGTCGAATGCTTTACTAAAGATAAACGATTTCTTCCAGATCGGGGGGAAGCAAGAAGAATGCATGGACCATGGGAAAAATCGGAATTGCCTGATCATAATTTGCCGACGTATTACGAAATGATAATGAGGATGGGTTTGCGGACGTTCTTACGAAGCTGTAAAACTGTTTAGGGCCCTGAGAAAAACGTATCCTGCATCGAGATAAGTAGTTCTTATAGCATTGAGCATTAAGAGCTCAAAAGTTTGACCGAGCTATTACATAGCGAGTGTGAGAAGTAGGACAACTTACTTCATGAAATTTTTTTTTAAGTTTTGATTTTAAGTAAACCAAGGGGGCTTTCCAGATCCAATCGGACAAGAAAGCGGGACACAAGAATCGAAAAATATGCCAAAATTTAGCAGAACAAATGGCGTCGAATTGAGCTGGAGGATATAGCTTCCTTTATCTTTTTAAAAGCTATCTCCCTGGCATAAGAGAAGTTAAACTTCTCCTTCTTTAAGCCGACGGCATTTATTTAGCTTTGTATAAAAGTAGTTACATCACTAGATGTGAGGCGAGGGGCAAGCCGTGAGACAAAAACTTTCCTCTTTGGTTGGACCTCCACCAGTTGTTTAGGCACCACTGGTACATGTGATGTTCCGGGACGTCTATTAACTGGTGGGATCGGAATGGACAGGATAGCTTGTGAGTTTGTGGACTCGACGGACATGTGATCCAGTGTTCAAAAATAATTCCTTATCTTTGCTTTCCGCGGACTAAATTGGGAGCCTTCAAGACATCGTCCTTCTTATGAGAGTATGCTGCGTCTCATTAACAGTCATTCTCTTAAAAGCCGTAGGATTTGCCATGGAATTCTCTTTCTCCACAAACTTTTATCTGGTGCGATCGAATCCAATCCCGTCGCACCCGACTGGGCATTATCATTCTCCTCATCTTCAACTCGTATCTTTCTAACACTCTGACCATTAATCTTCCCATAATTTAGTAATTTGAATAATTACATTTTTTTTCTTTTTTCAATCTTGAATTGTTGTGTCAGAGAATTGCTATAGCCTGCTTGTAGAGTAATTTATGTTGTAAACTTCTATTGTACAGTTTAACTGACATTGCCAAGGACCTTAACGTACCACTTATTGCTGATGGTATCAACAATCAAGCGAAGACCCATATTTGTAATTTCATAAGACACCCTAATGTACTGACGAGGCGACTTGCGAAAACAAGATACCGGCGTAAGCTGGCCAGAATACACCCAGTCGACCTTCCCAACAGGATGATCTAAGAAATCTACCCTAGAAATCTGCTCCAAAGTAACAGCAATTAGCAAATTGTACTATTATTTTATAATGAAATACAAAGCCTTTTAACTGTTTAACTGACCATGGTTCAACTCTAATTAACCAATAAAGGTAATATACATAAAAACAACCTTAACAAGAAATGGATACTATCTACTACTACACTCACCAAGCAGGTAAAAGCAAAAATTTCCTGTACGGTACTTAATGGCATATAGCCGGACGGCACTTCTACTGAGATCACACATGCGATAATGAACGAGGGCTATGATTCTGCGTTTTTAGTTTTCTCGAATCTGCAATATTGTGGATGCAACAGATTTTCGTCCTTTGTGGGGGCGGAAGAGGGTGGGGCAAAATTCTGAGATATACGTTTTATAGTGAGATCTAACAGAAGTGCGGATACTAAATTTGGTTACTCTAGCGTTAATAGTCTCTGAGATTTGTGGATGCCCCAGATTTTCGTCCTTTGCGGGGGCGGAAGGGGGTGTGACGAAATTTTGACACAAAACGGTCAAGGTCCGATATCACAGGAGTGTGGATACCAAATTTGGTTGCTCTGGCTCTTATAACCTATAAGATCCTTGAACTCATATTTTGCAATTTTCAAAACCGACCATGAAACCTGTGTGTTAGAGAGAAACAGAGCGAGAAAGAATGAAATTGTTTTCTTGATTCTGGCTATAATAATTATACGATCTGGTTGAGATATTACACTTTAAAAGATATGGTCATCCTGTACGGTTCTACGTTTTTGGTTTTATCGTATCGTCGAAATTGTGGATGCCACAGATTTTCGCACTTTGTGGGGGCGGAAGTGGGCGGGGCTAAGTTTTGAAATATTTTTGTAGCAGTGACATATCACAGAAGTCTGGATCCAAAACATCGTTGCTCTAGCTCTTATAGTCTTTGAGCACTAGGCGCTGATAGGGACGGACAGACGGACGGACGGACGGACAGACAGACAGACAGACAGACAGGGCTCAATCGACTCGGCTATTGATGCTGATCAAGAATATATATACTTTATGGGGTCGGAAACGATTCCTGGACGTTACACACATCCACTTTTACTACAAATCTAATATACCCCAATACTCATTTTGAGTATCGGGTATAAAAATGGTTTTGCAGCCAAGGCTTACTGCCCAGCAAATTTTTTTTACAGAAGTAAGAAGCGGTCCCCTCTCTTTAAGGCACGAGCCAGACAACTGAACTTTAAAGAAAACCAAAGTCCATCCAACCTACAAATTCCTGTACCTGTTGCACCGCATGATCACAGTAAAATACCCACATAAAAGCAATGATGAATTGCAATGCACAAATTGCCAGGAATATGTGCACACCAAATCTTACTATACGCTACGATCAGTCTAC